TATTTAATTATACTTTACAACATATGTACAATATTTTTAGGCATTTTGGTAAGCTATTAGGTATTTGGTCTATACCATTATGATAGCCTTTCTTTTTGAGGTCAACGTATTTAGGAAAGAGAGATGACTAAAGAATAATTATAATCTGGGGATCTATCGAGGCTAAATGGTGAGTGAAAACTTAAAACAAAACAAAAAATCGTCAAACTTGCAGGAAATTAATGGATTACTAGATTACTACTACACATCATATGACTCTGCGAAATAGAAGAAAAAGAAGAAGAAGAAGAACAGGAAGAAGAACAAGAAACAATAATCCTGGAAAATTACGAATAAGAAGATTAATCATTTTATTTTCAATTGCACCGCCATTATTTTAACCAACCGATATATACAATAGTTTTTAAACAAATAAAATCACTGCAGATACCACGTTAAAATAAAACGCGCTAAGTAGACTACCTCATGGGTGGCGTGGAAACGAGTGCTAAGTATGAAGATTACCAATGATCGAACTTTTCAACGCGTTATATCTTCAAAATGGTGGCATTTAGGAAAAAAATTATTGATTTCTTTTTTGTAGAGAATTTTCTGATCTACACTTTTGTACTGGGGTGATTTTGCGAAAAACTCACCGTTTCGCTTAAAATCGCAAAATACTCATTTTTTTTACCTTTGACCTCGTGTAAAATTTTTAGCACACCTCGGAACGATGGGGACTTTTGAGGTTTCATTTATAATCATGTTTTGAACAATTGTGCCAATTTTCAGCTTCTTATGAATTTATGTAACCTTGAATGTATAAATTGACCAGATTATCACTAGAAAGTGCGACAGAACAAAGGACGATCAATTTAAGAATCTATTCTTTTTTTGAAACTGTTCTTAAAGAAGTAAACTTTAACCCCTGTAGTAAATGAAATAATGATCTCATTATGAATCTTCGGATACACATATTACGAATTTGCAAATTGCAACCTTACTGCTCTAAGAACAAACGTTAAAACTATTATTGTGTATTAAGTTAACATCAAATTACATGCTTAGGTAGATAAATTACATTGCATACACATTTCATACACGCAACTAGAGCACCACCAATTCAAGATCTCCTTTTTGGATCAAACTGCACCAAACATGGTGTTGTAATCAGACACTTGTAGTGCCACAATCAAAGCGATTTCCTATCAATCAATCAAGATAGGAGTAATTCGAAGACAATTACATATCAAGAGCTGTTCCACCCATAAACTTGAGATAATAATTGTTGGCGCCAGAGACGTATTAGTCAAGCGCGGGGCCCATATAAATTCTATGCGAGCTTGAATAGGATGTCCTTGAGGTTAGGCTATCTATGCAGGTGGATACTTACGTTTCAGATATTGTAATTTCTATCTAACAATAGGATTTTAAGGCGGAGACGACTTTAGTAATGTAGGTCCCCCGTTTGCGACGGGCCCAATAAAATAGTACTCGTTCCGTACTCAATCCGGCGCTGGTCTGGTAATAAAATTGAGCCTACACAGCCGTGTTGGACAACGCCTCCATACTGCAATGTTTTAGGCAGTTTCCAATCTACATATCAACGTAAAGCCTTGTATGGAGGATCCCGATGTGTTGTCTATTGGTAAATGTATCGCCATGTTTGTTTTTTAGGCGAAGTTTATCGATATTTAAGTAAGTAGAGAATATTTTGATTGTTTTGCTAAGGTTTGGCGTGGACCTCACATGAAGTCTAAGTCAATATCTAGTTGACACCATTTTAGACTACATGGCATCGACTACAGTTTTTGAAACGGGAGTTTCCGAAACCCTGTAAAGCTATTTAGCTTAGTCTGCAACTATTTGAATAGTTAAAATGTATAGAGCTACAACATTAAAAACTACAAATTTTGTATATTCAAGAACTTACATACCTAGACACAATACTCCTGACGGTATGTAAGTACCTCATAAATGCACTGATGACCTAATATCAAACGTTAACATGCAAATTCAGGTTTAAGCAAAGTATGTCAAAGTGGACTTTATTTATAGCATCAGTACATCAGTTTGTGTAATCCAGTTGTCGCTAATCTCATGGCTTTGAGGCCAGATTTAAGTAAAACACTGTTCACACATGGCGACATGAAACATTGTACTATCCACACATGGTCATGATTCAAGGTCGACTGATGATGACTTAGTCCGCAAAGGTCCGCAAGTAATACTTCAGGTGGATAGAGATGAATTTAGAAACAGATTGAACTTTAATATAGAAAGGGTGAAGAGAGTAATAATTACTTTTTCGCCAGTTTACCTCGAAGCAACTGAATGAACCAATGACAGTAAATCGCACAAATATTTATAGGCATTAGGCACGTGTATGCATATGACATTGTACACAAAATATATGGACCTAGAAAACCTATTGAATGACTCGACATCTTTTTCAGAGTTGTAATAAAATAATAAATGTTAAAGTTGAGCTATAAAGTTTTCATTGTACAAGTATGTGCCACCTAGAAATAAACTGAGTACGTATATATAATCATAACAGACATACAAAATAATACAGAAAGTAGATTATAATTCGGATTATAAATAGAGGCGGCGTTGAAAATAAAACATCACGAGAACACATAAAAAGTTCAACGATATATTTGGTTAACAAAGATTTGGGAAATAACTAGCGTCTACTAACTCACACCCACACACTCCAAATTAAGCGTGGTCAAACAGAACTAGCCACTAAATGGAGGTGTTGTATCGGCGAAGAAATCAAAGGCGACGATCAATCTCATGTCAAACTAATAATGGGTATGAATAGTATGTTAAATGTGAGTAATTGTTGATCAACACAATGATGTAACAACGGGTGTACATACTGTCCGAAATGTGAGGCCGGATGCAATTTTGTTTTGATTTTGTGTATAGAATATCAGGAAAGGGTTAGTCAGCTTTTTGTAAGAAGCTTAGTAACAAATGATACCTATGAACTACGCAGTTTCCTCTATGCTTTTCATATTGCTAAGCTTCGTATAAAATCCTCAAATTTTAGCACTCAAGGAAAAGTTGTTAATCTAAGGAACGTGGTGTACCACAAGGGTCTATCTTATGACCTATCTGACGAAACATTAACAAATGTACCAGGATCCAGATCTCAATCGGGTGGTCTGATTTAAAATCGATGCACATGTGAATGCACAATGAATAAATTGGACGTCACATTAATTTAATGTGAAGCTTTGCATTTTCCATGTGAACTTAATGCAAACAAGATAGTAAGTAACGATTGACAAACTAACTTGCAATAATAATGAATGTTTATTGGCTTGAACCGACATTGACTTGTTTGAATGTGTCAGTAAAACTTACTGGCTTCTGTTCAGTGTAGGGCTATTAAACATTATGTGTCGTGTTGCTCATTGACCGATTCTTCAGTATATATATGTGCCATATAAGAATTTTGGACACGATGAAGATCAAAATTGGAAGACAAACCAATTTCAATAAAACAAAACTTTGAACAAATCATTCCGTATGGATGAATATGAATAAATATAATAATTTGACTACACTGTTGGTGCGGTGGCTGAGCAAACGGCTGTCGCACAACGTGTCGCGGGTGCGATTCCCGGATGAAACAACTCTTTAACCATCGATTGTTGTTCCGGGTCTGGGTGTGAAGTGTATGTGAATTTGTATGTTTCTAAACGCACCCACGATACAGGAGAAATTCCTAGTGAGGGATTTGAATGATTAGGGAGGCAACGTTTAAAATAAAATAAAATAAATAAAACACCTTTACCGCACAATGCGCCTAACACGGGATCATGCATTATTAATGAATCCTTATTTAGTACAATTAACGATATCAAAGCATAGTGTAGAATGAGTAATTCACTAAGACAAGTCATAAAGTCCGTCGTGGTGGCCCGGAGGTTAAGGTGCCCGCTTGTCTTGCATGAGGGTGTGGGTTCGTAACCTGGCAAGTACCAATGTGTCTTGTTCCGAGCTATATGTACTTTCTATGATTATTTAGACATCACGGACATACGGTGAAGATAAACATCGCGAGGAATCCTGAACTTATAATTTCTAATTATAAGTTTGAAATCGCCAACCCGCATTGAGCAAGCGTGGTGATTAATGCTCTAATCTTCTCGTTATGAGAAGAGGCCTTTGCTAGGCAGTGGGCACTTATAGGCTGATGATGATGATGAAGCCATTGAGTTAGATAAACTTCCTAAAATGTATATTTACCTAATAAAATTTATAACGATTGTTTTTTTATTTTGTTAGATAGATGTTAGATGAGATAACTCATGGATACTTCTGCAGTTCGAAATTGATCTTATATTAGTATTGTTTTATAGCTCACACTTTTCGATATTGGAATTCACCTTTTTTAAGTTACGTTATTCGTTAAGTCTGTATATTAATGAATCTGGTACTCATATTTTTATTTCCTTTTATGAAGACGCTCCAGTTAATGAATGCTACTCTGTTTAAGTAATAGGGAATGCATTATACCGGCCATTAAACACCGTTTAATTTAAACCTTTATGTAAATTAAGGTTTTTAATGGGGTTTCATTTAGTGCTTAGCTGGCGCTGGCAGCTGGTGGCCAAACAAAGCTGAGTTTACTCTATATCACGCAGGCTCTTAGACTATTCGTAAAATTACTTTAAATAATATTATTACGGAATACAATATACACGTGAAAAAGGTGTTCGAAAATGACGTAACATATAAGGTAAACATGTAAAATGAAATAGCACTTATTTTATTGTTTCATTTTTATCATCAACTTATTTTGGTTCGACATCAAACGTCTTGGAAGGTTATAATGTAAAGCCCTTCCAAGACTTCAGTACTATACCTCCGAGCTCCACAACAATGCTCAGCAAAAATGAATTAAGTACACAAATTACAAGTGCTCAAAGTATAGCAACAAACATTTTGGTAAAGACAACACTAATAGCGTAACGGAAGCACCACAGATCTAAGTGGTTGGGCAAACGTGCGCGTGCGCCCGTTGTATGCTCGATGATAAAGCTCGCAATTTTAGTTGTCAGTCGGGAGCGTGCCGTGGATCGAGACGGTCCTCCCATTCGGTCGGCGCGGGAATCCGTGCGCGTTTATCATCCATCCGGTCGTATCATCATCTACAAACGAACCACTTTTTGAACATCGAATAGTATTCTGGTTGCCCTCCACAGAGGAATCCAGTGGCATGGTAATTTGTGATAATAATTCCATCAGGATAATGTTGATTTAATTTTGTTACGGACGGATCCTGGGTGTTTGCCGCCTATTGTCTCTTGAATAGAGCTAGAGATTGGTATTGTATTACGTAATGTGTATAAAAATATTTTATTTCTTTTTATTAAGTAATTTAAAAAAAAACTGCATGATTTTTCGGTTTTAAAATTTTCTGACATATTTTAAATGTATACCATTTAAAATTATTTACTAATTAGATTACATACATTACAAACATTTTCCAAGTCAACAAGTGTAATGTTAGTTCTAAGTAATATAAAAGCTCACTGCGCTTCACGCGGCGGACGGTTTTCAATGTTTTTTGTACTTTTAAGTGAGTTATGATGACTTTCGCAGTTACAACATTATTTTGCCATTACAATCGGCATAATGCCTACATCCTCAGTTAATAGGGCCAGGGTTAAACATTGGTCAGCGATGAGTCCCTTATCAGAGTAGGAACCGGCCGAAGGCTAGCCGATTTGCGCAATCGGCGGGACCATATCACGTCCGACGCTAAATTCACATGTGTGGGAATATCGCTCTCCATTTAACTGTCATATTTATTTGCCACGGCTTCTGTATTGTTCAAAGTGCAAGCTTCGATAACTTGGGGCCTATTTTCACTATTTCGACCAAAATCGTATTTGCTATCAGAATTTTATTGTCTCTAATCTTAATTTTATACTCGATCTGCAGATAGAAATGCCCCTCAGGTTTATGGAAATGTTAGATAAATATTCAGAGATTACAAGATTATTCAGCTACTAATGTAAATTGCTTGGTTGGATTTGAGTTCTTTTTCTCATTTTCCTAAAGCTAACAAAATGTATTTTTGTAGAAGACCCAGAAATCGTTTGCCTTATTAACTTTCTTTCCCTGTAAAGGCTTCAAAGTGCTCATCACACGAAATCACATACAAATATTTCAGAACGATTAGTAAGCGAATATTTTCGATCGAATCACGCTGATACCTAAAAGCTTGTTTAGTTTGTAGTCAGATTTCATGCCATTTACGTGTTGTAATGTTGATGTAAATTTACACCTCAATTCAGTGCACAGTATGATCCAACGCATTTAGCTGTAATGATTGTCATTTGCATGGCATCTCTGTGGGGCCCTAGGACCGGTCGGCATTGACCCTACATTTAACAGCTAATTCTCCATTGTGTTCACAGTTTTACAACCTGTCGTTATGAATTACAACTAGTGCTTATCTGTCCCTTTAAACTGTATTGTCGCCAACTATAAAATGTTATGCGTTTTGTACCAATGTTATGTCATCATCAATTTGTCATTTTCACATATTCTCTGGCGTTAAAAGAAATTATGACAAAGAAATAAAATAACAAAGTTGTACAATATAATGTTTCTTTTTAGTTTTCCATCATAACTTTACTGGAGATTCTGTTACCTTACTGTGTAGGTTTTATAATTTACACTTAATAATTTCCAACATAATATTTTCTGCTTTTTTGTTTAATATTCATGATCATAGTTATGTTTGTGTGTGAACAAATTAATGTAACCCCACGTTTTCTAAATTAGTCCCGATAATAAACTTTTACTGAATGGTACGCTGGCGCAGTCTGATCAATATCACCGTTATGTTTGTGAAGTTTAGATGTCATTAATATCCAGATGAACCTAATTAACGACTAAAAGGAGGCATCCACATAAGTGTACTAGAATTAACTGGATAATCTAGGACATGTTTTTTTTACGAAATCAAATCGAATGATAAATACGAAGAAATGTTTTTTTTATTGATGAAAATTATTAGGAGTGATCTCATCTTTCTTGAAGTAAAGACATCTTTCACATGATCTGCAAAAGGTCAAAAAACTTAGTGACGTCTTAATCCTTTTCAATAAGTGTAACCTACATTTGCACAATAAGTGGTATCTTCATGAGAATTGTCTGTACAGCTGCACTGCAAGTTACTTTGACACAGTTTAAGCATATGTTCGTCGGTTTTGTTTATTTTTTAAATACTCCCATAAAATGGCTCGTAATTACCGTATTAGGTCAGATTTTGTACCGAACGTCGGCTTCTTATTTGAAATGGGATTAATTATGTATGTTATATTTTATTAGTATTTTCTGTGCCAGTCGATCGTTGCAGATCATGTGTATCTTTCTCGTTACTCTTTATCCTTATAAGTTTTTTCTTTACTTTTTGTGCTAGTGCTAAATGATACCTATTCTTAACTACAGAATGTTATTTGCCAAATGATGAAGTAAGAACGCTTCTGTTTGTTTAAAACATTCCTCGCCTACAAACTTTAGCTATCTTTTATCAGTGCGTGTAATTATTGTCTCATCAACTGTATTCTAACCATTTTAAGATTTTTATAAAGACCTTATTTTTGTTGGGCATAGAAAATGACTTCATTGCAGATAAAACTGTAAAATATTAATCGAAAACTCCCAACGATTCGTGATCCATTATTCCTTATAATATTAGAGAGGTAGTGTCAGTAACTTAATATCTACCAGGAAATTGAAAATGACAGTTCAAAAGAGTTGTATTATAGAGATCTATGCAGGATTGGCAAAAAGTGACTTCTTAGTAGAGACAAACGTAAAGAATCATACAACACATTGAACACTATTAATTACGGTTTATATGTTTAAATACGGTTAGAAAACATTTGATAAGCCTATTTTTTCTATTTTGTATCCCAAATTTTACTCGTCTACGTTTATTGATCTGTTGTATATAGAGGTAGAATTTTTTTTAAATGTCTCATTTTTTTTTCAACTTCAGATTTTTTCAACAATCTAATTTTAGCCATAAAATGTACTAGTTGGTATTGTAAATGGTCGTTGTTCGTTCATATCGGAAATGTTGATGAGAAAATTCGAATCGATTTTACTCTTCGCCTCTTAGGACCAAAGCTTGCTGAAGTGGTTTCTCAAGTGTGTATTGGTCCTTAGAGGCAATTAGGCGCGATAGATTACAGGCGTCGACGGTATCTGCATGTCTGCAGGCGTGGCTAACGATCTGTCACATCACGCCCTACTTGCGTTCTTACATGTCAATATGCTGAAATATATAGGTCCTGTCGCTAATAGGATATTTTCAGGATAGGTTTTTATGTTGTAGTCGTATTTGCGTTTAGTGTATTTGATATTTTTTCTTGTTTAGTCGAAAAGCAATGTTGAGTATGATGTTGAAATTTTATACTGATTAAAATAAAAGTTTATTAGGTTTACAATCAACTGAAAACTAAAAATACAAACGTGTTAAACTGAGGGTATACGTCATCCTTTGTCTACTCTTAGAGGATAACAGTCTCTTACTTTTTCATTTGTAAACAGCTCAGAATTATTTATGACATTACTTTTAACCGTACATTTATCAAGTTTATCATCACTAATACTTGTATTGACACAACATTGCATGTATTACCAAAGCGAGAGCTTTCGAGAGCTATCTGCATTTCACGAGAGCACTAAGTGGTTCTTTGATCGTCCTGAAACGTACACCGGCGCCTGCGCTTCCTAGTTGACGTATGAATGGCCTCCTTATGATCGAAATAGGCTGATTTGTAATGTACAGTCATTGCTTACGAGTTGTAGGATTTGCATAGAGTGTAAGGTCTGGAGGTAAACTTGTTTGTTATGAAATTATCAGTTTGTATTGTATGCGATTTTTTTAAAGAGTAGGTTGGCAAACGATACTTCTTTTCATCTGATTTTCAAATATTCTTATTTTGAATTAAAGACATTTAGAATTGTCGTGGTGGCCCGGAGGTTAACGATCCCGCTTCTCATGCATGAGGGTGTGGGTTCGAAACCTGGCAAGTACCAATGTGACTTTTTCCGAGTTATATGTACTTTCTATGATTATTTAGACACCACTGACATACGGTGAAGGTAAACATCGTGAGGAAACCTGGACTTATAATTCCTATTTATAAGTTTGAAATCGCCAACCCGCATTGAGCAAGCGTGGTGATTAATGCTCTAACCTTCTCAGTGTGAGAAGAGGCCTTTGCTCAGCAGTGGGCACTTATAGGCTGATGATGATGATGATGAATTAAAGACATGCCCAGGAATCCATGGTTCTCAATGTAGGCTTTCAAAACTATCACGTATTCTAATGTATTTACTTTAAAGTAATTTAAAATAAATCTTTGAGATTTATAAAATTACCGCAAATCTGTTAATTGTAATGTTTATCAAGAAACGTGTCTGTTTATACTAATCCCTGTTCTCGTCCCACTTCTAAATATAGAACAAGTTCGCATCATAACATAATCGCATGATCGATACGAACAAGCCGTTCAAGTGAACCCATACAGTACCTATAATCTCTACAAAACTTAAGTGAGGCTATTTCACGCGTTATAATATCATATTTTCTGTTGCCAAGCAGTTAATTTTATCGTTTCTATCATAAACAGGGGTACTTAATTTCGCTGTTTAAAGACAGGATTTTTTAAGATGTTGATCATCTTAGGAAACATCGACGTCATCGATTCATTTAATGTTTTGGTTAAACATCTGAATGCGTGTATATCCAAACTTCCCAACTAATATTATAAATGCGAAAGTAACTTTGTCTGTCTGTCTTTTCTTTACGCCTAAACTACTAAACTGATTTCGGTGATATTTGATACAGACATAGTTTGGAACTCGAGAAAGGACATAGGATAGTTTTTTAACCAAAAATCTGCAGGAAGTCACTATTCCACGCGAACAAGGTTGCGGGCAAAAGCTAGTAGTTCATATTTTGATGTCAGTGAAATCTATATTATTATTTCTTTACGATAATAAGTTGTGTTTGTGTTGTTTGCGTGCTAGTTCAACGTCCACAGTTCCCCCTAGTTGCGTGGCAGGTGATTAAGCCGGCTTTACTTACGTGTACCGTTGTTATCCAGGTCAAATCAAAATATTTATGTTTAGTCTTTTGTTTTTCTTTATAAATTGGAAAAATTTGATCCGAAACTGTTCTCTGTATAAACA